TATGCCTCTCCACTTTGGGCTGAAAAGACCTCAATGCAACAAGATTTGACCTAGGCTCAGGCATGATCCAGGTTACTCACCAACCCCTCTTAGACTCCTGCGTGACTGGGGTTTCAGGAATATTATGCAAGACATGCATGGCGGCATAAGCAATTGCCCATGACTGCCAACTTCCAGCTGCCAGCACCTGGGGAGAACCATCAAACTGCCTTGCCCTGCAGTTCGAAGCTGTGCATGTACCTGGGGAGCAGGAAACTCCCCAGTCCCCAGCTACCATTTCCATGTGCAGGAGGGAAGGGGGGTCTTTATAGCTCCCTATGCACAAGAGATCGATGACCCTCTTTTCAGTGTCTGGATCCAAACATCTGGGGAGATTCCAAAACTATGGATGCAACCCAGCTGCCAATGCATCACTCCACAAAGCAGCACATGCAGCTGGGGAGAAGGGAGCTCCCAGCTGCCATTTCCATGGGTGCCCCAGGACTTAAGTGGCTAAGCTGCTGGGAGCCTTAGCTACATACCTGTTTTTTAAAGGTCTGGGACACAGTGAGCCCAACATCAAGGAGATACTCCCTGATGTTGGGCTCAGTTTCCCTACCCACCCTTCTGTCTCTTGAGATCTGGCAGAGGCACCAGGTTCAGGACCTAGTGCTGCCTCAAGGTGGATGCTTCTTACTGGGTAAGGGGAACTTGTGTCCCAGACTTTGGGACTGCCCAGTGCTACATCTTTGTGGCTCACTGGCAATATTATCATGCCACAAATTGGCTTTAATGTGTGGCAGGGTTACTATTTATGGTGCAATTAACATCTTAATCGTACCACAAACACAACATGTGTCAGGGCTCTTCTGGCTTCTCTGCTCTGTTCTGATCCACTTCTTCCTGGGAAAGGTATGTAAATTCTACACAAGTCTCTGAATATACCACCAGAGTAAACAAAGACTGAGGGTCTGTTTGACAAATTGCACACTACCCCAGGAAGTAGAATACTTAGGTCCTAGGCTCCCCTCAAGACACAAACCTACATCTCCCACTTCCCAGAGAAAGCCCCGACTATACAGCCATGGGAAAGCCAGGGCTCTCAGCATTTTGCACCCCTCTGCTTGAAGCAGGGTCACTGGCCAACCAAGGGTAAAGGACTCATGGGGACAAAGGGAGAGCAAGTAAGGGGGTCTGTTCCACAGTGGGGTGGTGGGTAATCCCCTGGAAGCACTTGATTATGGCCCCCAATCACAATTCTGCTCGTAAATTTTATCCATGGACTATCTGATGCAAAATACATGAAAGACATTGGGAGAAGGGGCTAAAAACCAGGGGGCCCTCTCTTCTGATACACTGCCCACCTCCTTGGACCATGAAGCCAAACTCCGCTTAACTGGTCAACTCTTGGCACCATGACTCTTTTCAGTCACTGTTTACATGGCCAGCCCCAAAGGCGGGGGCGGGGAGGGGAAGGGGGAGGGCATGTAAACTCTCCCTGAAACACTCTTGTTATTCATGATGGGCAGCTGGCTAGTACATAATATAAACTTCCTCTTAACTCCAGTAGTTGTGTGTTAGAAACCATTCTTAGTCTATAATGAGCCTACATTTTATATTATATGGTACTGTACATGAACAACTAGCTGTCACATATTGGTTGTCAGGAAATGAGAACATTTTAGATCTAATCCAAACCACACTGGAGTCCTTGGAAGTTTTTCCATTAAATGCATTTTGGACAAGTACCTACTTTTTTAGATTCAGCTTGTTGTATTTTGTTAAACTTTGTGATTTCAGAACTATAAGGCTTTGAGAAGTTGGGAAGTTAAAATAAACACTGTATGTACTTGATAAGAGTATGGAGCAAACAGTGCATCTGTCAATGTGAGAAGTTTCCTTACTTGATTCTTCATGATCTGACAGATGTCCCTTTCAACAGTCAAGAGATGTGCCTGATGACAGTATTTTTCTGTACTGGAAGAAAAGTAAACCATTCTCACTGGCCACTGTACACTTTTATAAGTTGTGTTAATTTACCCAGTCACACTTGCATAGACTCTTCACAAAAATCCCTGTACAGTATATGAGGGGCTAAATTCAGCTCAGCTGAATGACAGTTAGAGTAAGTTAAAGAGTATAACACATATTTGCAAATACTTACAAAACGTGCTTTCACTCTTTTAGGCAGCTCTTCATCGAGGGTGTAGATCTCTTCCCGCTTCATTGCTATCTGAGACCCATCTTCAAATTCAACCTGATTAAGAAACAGGAATTTTAAAAATGAAGTCAAATCATTATTTACAATCCTTGGAAGCTCTCCAACACCAGACATATGCAACAATTTATGTACAGAGATATAGGAAATTTAACATTTACAAATGTTTGGTTATTTATTTTTACGAAGGAAATACAAAGAAACAGCATTAACTCCACAGTTAAAAATTAGGGATGTACTTCATAAATAATCACCATTAGCTTAAAGTGCAGAAGGACTGCAACACCAGCACTGACATTTGCACAAAAGAATTCAAATGTATTTGATTAGGAATAGTAAATAATATCAAAATATACAACATTGCTTTATAAAGACATCTTAACAATATGCTGCTATGTTCTTTACATTCATTTTTTATATTCTAACTCATACAAATTAATTTTACCAGCTTGTGTTTCAAGGGTACCCAAGACCAAATGAAAAGTAAGAAGGTATGAGTGACACTAAAGGAAATACCAGTTAACAGAATTACACTGAATCTGATGGAATTTCTTTAAAATGCTCTGTTCAGAAGATGAAAAGCTTTATCATGCTTAGGTTTAGATTTAATCTAACATGAACCCCTTTAGCAGAAAATGAGAAAGGAAATGTAGCTAGGTGTGGGGAATGCTAAAATACTGAGCCTTTGAACCATTTATACCTTTCTCAATAGCTACTAACTTTTAAAAAACATTTGGTAGAATATTTCGCCTGTCAGACATAGTTTGAGTTCCTTTAGAAACTTCAGTTAAAAGCAAGTCTGCAGAAAACTCATAAAGGACCCAATCCTGAAGTCCTGTTTGACTATCTGACTGTTTACCAAGGATCTGGGTCTTCTGTTTCCTATGGAAAAATGGAGAAAACCATGGATTTCCTGGTTTTATCAGAGAAAATGCAGATTTTCTCTTTTAGCAGAGAAACCCACGGATTTCCCCCTCTTGCAAAGAGCTCTGCAGGCTGGTAGAGTTCCAGCCTGCAAGAGCTGTTTGCAAAAACGGCAGAAAAGCCCCAACCCTGCCTGGAGGGTCAGAGGAAGGGGGAAGGAGAGGGGGAAGGGTGGAACCTGTGGCTTTTAGTCAGTCGCAAGGCCTAAGTCAGGCTCACTTTCCTCCCGGAGCCTGTGAAGTGGTAATTGGGGCTTGCAGGAGGCTGGGGGGTTGCAGGGCAGGGCTGGGGTGGAAGCTGGCTGAGGGAGCAGGCAGGTGTTGGGGAAATACATGGAGTGCCTGGCCAGCACCTCCATGTGCAGCTTCCCTTAAGGGCTGCTAGAGCCACTTTGGTTTCACATGCCCCTGGCCAGGTACTCTGGCCACGAGCAAGGAGGTGTTGGGGAAATACAAGGAGTGCCCAGCCAGCTCCACATCACCCCGCTCAAGGCTGGAGCGCTTGGCCAGGGGCACATGAAACCAAAGTGGCCCTAGCAGCCCTTAAGGGAAGCTACACGCAGAAGTGCTGGCAGGGAGCAGGGAGATGTGGAGCCGGCTGCACACTCTATGTTGTTTACTCTCACGGGACAGGGGAGACCCGTGCCCCCAGACCTGTGTGGGGGACAGGCTGCCGGCTTGAGCTCCTGCCCTGCTCCCGTCCCTGCGACCCAGTATGGTTGGGGACAGAGGAGCTGCAGGGGGATCTCCTAGCAGCTGCTCGTTCTGCGCTGCCCCAGCAATCCACCTTCTGCACGCAGGGCTGCACTGAGGGAAGCAGTGAGGGGCTCCACCACTCACAGCAGCAGCCAGTGCAGGAGGTGCAGTGGGGGAGCAAGGAAATTCTGGCATGGCCCCACTGTTTCCAGCCATGCCAGGTCTTGCCTGTGGAGCTACAGCAGCCCCATGGGAGGGAAGCAGGGCAGGAGCTCAAGCCCACAGCCTGCCCCCTGCATTGATCTGGGGGCACAGGTTCCCCTGGGAGTGTGCATGGCCACCAGGAGCCAGCCCTGCCCTTGCCTGAGTCAGCAGCAGGCAGTCAGCAGTGCGGGAGCTGGCTCTGTGCTCCTGTTGCAGATGCCTTCTGTTGAGGGCAGGGAGCTGTGGACCTGAGTCTCTGGTCCCATAGCCCTAGCAGCTGGGGGCCCCCTCCAGCAGGGCAAGGGGCACAAGCAGGGCTGGGAGGCTGTTGGGGCAGAGAGGGGCACCAGCAAGGCCGGGGGGGACAGACAGACTGTGGGGGGCCTTTAATTTAAATCATGGATTTTGGGGGTTTTATCAGAGAATTTGCAATTTTTTATCACGGAAAACCAGGATCCCTGCTGATTAGAATAGGTAGCAGGTAAGAGTTGCAGGACTAGATCTAAGCTATGTATACCCCGATGTAGCACCGATAAACTATATATCAAAACTTAGTTTTAAATCTTTGTTTGGCGAAGTTGACAGTGAGTCCAAGCATGTCATACACTACACAGAAACAATCAAGAGTGATCTAGAGCTCTTCACTTGAGCAGGCAAACAGGACACCACCAGTGTACTGAAGATCAGAAATGGAGGATTTGATTATTGTTTATCTTGGATTAGGATTGTAGCTGGTTTATGTCAAAGAGATTCCCGTCCACGTGATACTGGATGCTGACTGCAGATGAAAGTCAATCAGCAATGAGAAGTGGAATAGATGTGATATAATTGGAAAAAAGTGTTGTTGCAATCACCATCCTTGCTTGACTCAGGTTCTAAGAGTGAAAGGGTCCATTTCCAAGACATTGCTCAGGACAGTTGGTATCATGGCATTGTGATGAAGTCTGACAATGGTAACGAATTTTCATCAGGATTTCCTATAAGGCCTTTCTGTTGACTGAATCAAAGGACTTAGTCAGGTTAATGAAGGCCATGTAAAGATATTGAAGTTGCTTGTGGCACTTCCTCTGTAGAAACAAATATTATATCTAGTGCATCTATGTGGTAAAAACCACATTAGGACTTGGGTAAAATCTCCCTAGCTAGGAAAGCACATCTACTGATGACAACATGGGTGTGGATCTTTTCAGCTATGAATAGGAGTTCAATACTACAATAACTATTGCAATCTGATGAACCTCCTGTCTTGAACAAGGTAACAACTCTGGCATCTCTGAAGCCACTTGAAATTTGTTCATGTTTCCAGATTTTCATAATAATGTGCAACTGGTGAGCTGGTATCGCTAGGACCACATGCTTTGTTGTTCCTTCATCTGCGTAATGGTTTTTAAGGCCCCTTGACAACTTGGTGCATCTGCAAGGCAGTCCTTAATGGGGTGTTGTGGAATGGCTTTAATGGTATTGTTCTCTTTGTTTTGCTCTCAAATTTTCCTCTCGATCTCAGCTTTAATGTGGTGTTAAATGTCTTGCCTTGGTTTGGAGATGATGTAATTCTGCTAAGCTTTGACAGCTCTCCTTTAACTGTGAAAGGTACAGACAGAAGTGCAGCTCCTAGCTGTAACTCAGAATGATTTTTGCAAAGCACTCCAAATTACATTTCTCTGGACCAAACAGAAGTTCGCTGGTGGTTCCAGGGGGGAGGGGAATCTAGCTGCGGCTGGGAGCCTGCAGCCAGGTTCCCATAGCAACAGCCAGGCTCTCTGCTAGTGCTCACTGTTTTCACAATTGGAGGGGGGAGGCTCCAATAAATCTTCCCCACTCTCGGGAGGGGGTTGTGGGGAGGTTGAAAAAAATCCCAGACTGAACTCCCTTCACTCCTTCCCCCCTCCCATTCTGAAAACAGAGCAGACAAGTTGCAAAAGACGCTACATTTTGAAATGTCTTTATATGATACCTCATGCAATAAGGGGTCAGATTTTCACCCAATCAGCCATTTTTAATGTGTTTGCAGCCATGCACTTGTGTTTGGTCACAGCTATAAGCTGCTTTCTGTAGCCAAATCAGGTGAAAATTGTCACTTCTGTCTGCACCCAATGACCGCTTGAATTTCTCTATCATTCTCACTGAACCATAGAAAAAGTAGTTCTGGAAGGGACCTTCAGAGATCATTCAGTCCAATCCCCACCTGAGGCAGGATCTTCCCTGTCCCCCTGCCATCCTACACAAATCCATGGTCTAACTCAGGGGTGTCAAAGAAAGACCTTGCTAAAAATGATCATCTCCAGCACTGCTTCAGTGGGAAACTCTCTGACCTCCCTGATAATCTTGACACCACTGATCATTGGGAGAGCCCCAAGAAAGGAATCCATTAGGTGTGTGAAGATCCTATATGCTGGATCCAGCCAGTGGATCCCCATCATCCAGCCTCAGGTCTCAGAGTTGACCCACATGTAGGAGGAGGTGAGTGCCAGATTGGCCCCACACAGGGTGCAGGCCCCATGCTCCAAGTGGTGCCTGCTCTGGCTAGTTTGAGACTGTGTTATGCACACAGTGCCCACTCCACCTAGCTTGGGATTATGGTACATGCAGCACCCACTCCAGCTGGCCCAGGACCTGCACTGCATGCAGTGCCTGTCCTGGCTGGTTTAGGGCGGGATCTGCATGCAACATGGGTTCTGAATTGGCTGGAGGGGATGCTGCATACAGTGCCTGTCCTAGACCAGTCAGGTTCTGCATGTGGAGCAATCCCAGGGCATCCAAAGTGGAGGCTGAATGCACTAGATCACGCTTGATGGGGAAGAAGGGCAGTGAGTTCAATGTGGCTGGTGGACCAGCCCCATGCAACTTATCTGGCCCATGAGGCCAGATGACTGACACCCCTAGTCTATTAGGAAAACTACACAGCCAGCCCTGAGATGACCAAAAGAAATAACACCCTAAACTTTCAGAAGTAAATCAGGGAGACAATGAATTCTGATCATTTCTTTTTGGAGAAGCCAAGAGATTCTTTGCATAACTAATGGAATGGATGCATTTCTTGAGGCTCTTCCAGTGATCAATGGTGTTAAGATCATCAGGGAGGTCAGAGAGTTTCCCACTGAAGCACTGCTGAAGATGATTGCATTCAAGCATTCAAATTTGAACCTCTTCCTTGGTTGCTTCTTTTGTTTACATCATTTTGGGGCAATATGAATGTTTAGTATAGAACGTATCAAA